GTAATACAACTGGGTGCCGCGCTAACACGATAGCCACATTTTGAAATCGAAATCGGGCCGCCCTCCATCCGTGAAATCGTTCCGAGTTTCAAGCTTCAGGGTCATGGAATGTTGAGGATCTCTCAGGCGAAATGCTCGGCCCACCCTACTGGCACGTCTGGGGATGCGTCAGGGAGAAGTTATGAGGACGTCGCCGGCTGCACGTGGGTCCCCCCTCGCTTGGGGCGGCCTCTGCGTTGCGCAACTCTCGGGGGACGGGAACGCAGGGAGGCCCAGTTCGATCTGATCGATCCGGGTCGATTTGGATCCCTGCTAGCCCGATCCGATCCGACTCTGATGTTCGGAAGACCCGATGCTTGCACGGCGCTGTTGCGCGTCTTGGCGCGGCCGATCCGATCCGATTTCTACTCAGTGACGATGCAGGCCGATCCGACGCACATCCCGACCCAACCCGATTTCCCGATTCGATGCTGGCTGATCTTGCTGGCCGCGCACTCTTGCTTGGGGTGACTCGTACGTGCAGCCGAGGGGAGGAGCATCGGGACAGGAAGGGCGAGGAAAAGGGGTCGCAACGAGGACATGGGGTCCTGAAGGAAGACCGTCCTGAGGTTTTCTGTATTCGCGCTTCCTGCCTCCGGGCATCAGGAGCGTCAAAATTTTGTCAGGGTGAGAAGTTGTCTTGGGGAAAGCCCGGGATCCTGACCCAATCAGGCTTTCTCATCATAATCTGCACGCCCGAAATGGGTACGGAAAGAATGGGTACGATGCCCAACAGCGGATCCTGTTCCTTTTGAACAGGACTCGCTGTCCGCGCCGCCGCGGCTTGTGTCCATTCGAGACAGAGGGCCCCCTGCTCAACAGCGGCCGCTGTAGGTTTGGGACAACTTTTGCTGTTGGGCATTGTACCCATTCTTTCCGTACCCATTTCGGGCGTCCAAAGCAAAGGACGGGGGAAGGAGCAGGAGGAAGGACGACGAGGGCGGCGAGGGGGGGATTGGCAACGAGGTCGGGGAAGCGGGAGGCAACCAGGAGGAGGAGGAGGAGGAGAAAGCAAAGAACGTTGGAGATGAGGAAGAGGACGTGGAGGAGGACGACGAGAGGGACGAGAAGGCGGTGACTGATAACAAGAAAAGGGGGTTGAGAGGAGGAGCAGGCCAAAGGAGGAGGTGGATTGCTTGAGGCCAGAAGGTCCCAATTTGTTTCCCAACCTTCTTGTGGAGACGAGTCCTTCCGCCGCTTTGTTCCATCCCGCCGCTCCGTTTCCACCCCGCCGTTCCGTTTCTGGGTGACGTTCCGTTTTTTGCCTCCTTGTTGCCGATGCTCTCCCCAGTCTTCCGCCTTTCGGGCTTCTTGGCAAGTGGGGTATGCATGACGAGGTGTTTTAATTGTCATTGTCCATGCGGCCGGCGACCAGTCGTACATGTTGTGGTTCCCCCCGTGTGCCAATGCACTTCTGACGTGCACGGCTTCTAGCTCTCTCTCGTTCCCCCTCCTCCTTCCATCCCCCGCTCCACCCCCGCCGCTGCTTGCTGCTGCGGCGCTGCCCGCCCGCCTTGCTGCCGCTCGCCCTGCCGCGAATCCCCGCCCCAGCACGGCACGCCCCTCGCGCGGGCCGCCCCACGGCACCCTCGACGACGACCACAACGATCTCGACGGCGACGACGACGACGACGGCGACGGCGACGGCGACGACCACAACCACGACGACGACCACGACCACGAACACGACCATGTCCACGACGACAACCTCGACGACGACGACGACGACGTCGACGTCGACGTCGACGACCTCGACGACGACGAACGGCGACGACGATAGACGAAGAGCGCAGCGACGACGGACGACGACGGCGGTAGCGGCCAGGACCACGAACACGACCGTGTCCACGACGACAACCTGGACGACGACGACGACGACGACGCAGGCGGCGGCTGTGGCGACGGTGACAATTGCGACGACGACGACGACGACAATGACCGCAACGACGTCGACGACGACCACGACGATGACCACGACCACGTCCACGACGACGACCTCGACGACGACGACGCGTTTCGACGCTTGTCCACGGTGCCCCGAGGGTCCCCTCGGGGCAGCGCCGCGCCCGCGCAGTGGGCGCAGGCACAGCTCGGGTCCTCACGGGCCGTGGCGGGTCGGCGCACGGCGCCACCTCGCCACTCGCCCTCCCCTCCTGCTCGGCTGGGCGGCCCCGCCACCGCCGACGCTGGCCCGCCGCGTGGCAAGCTTCCTCCGGTTCCGCCTGGCGAGCCCTTCTAGCCACCTCTCCTCGCGGCAGCCCTCGCTTTGGGCCCCGCGCGCCCTTCGCGTTGCGGCCTCGGCCTCCCGCTCCCCTCAGCGTGGGGCCCTGAATGCCACCCACCCCCCTCGGGGCACGCGTCCTCGCTTCTTGCCGCCTCTGCCTTGGCGGCCCTCGCTCTCCGTCCGAGGGCTACCAGCCCGTCCTCGTCGGTGTCGTAGGCTTTGGCGACGTCGACCAGCTGCTTGAAGCGCACGGCTCCTCCGTACGCCCTTCCTTTGCCGTCGCTCGGGGCGGCGCTTTCAGCTCCTCCTCCGTAGCCAGCAGGTCCTCGCCCGCCGCGTTTGCCAGCTCCTGCCTGAGGTCACACGTGACCCCTTCCAGGAAGTCGCACTTGCTGCTACGCTTACAGGGCACGGGGTGCAGGCCGTTCCTCTGCCCACTCAGCTGCTCCTTGCAGCCTTTCGCGTCTCCTCTGTACGCTTGGAACAGCAGCTTCTTGCGCCGCTGCCTGACCTACATGCGCCCCTGCGCCCCGTTGGCCCCGCACCGTCGGCAGGCCTGGCCCCTCTCCCCCGTCTCGCAGCGGTACTCGCCCAGGTGGTGTCCCTTCCAGACGATGATGGGCTCGAGCTCGGCCTGCTTGCTTTCCACCTCCGCTGCCGTCTCCGCCCTGGCCGCCTCTAGCAGCTCCTCCTCGGCCTTGCCCGCGTCGACTGCATCCTGGAGGTCAGGCGGCATCTTTTCCAGCTCTATCCACAGCTCCTTCGGTATGCCCTCCGCGTCCTCGCCTTGGTCTTGCCACCAGACCTGCGACTGGGCTATCCAGCGCGCCGTCTGCTTAGCCAAGAAATGCGCGCCCTCCGCTGCGACAGCTCGCTCGGGCCAGTGGCCCCAGAGGCTGGCCCTTCCTTGGCGAGGAGGTCCGCCTGCTGGTTGCCATCGCGCGCCCACCTCCCGGTCTCCGTGACGCATTCCGCCTTAGGCTTGTGCGTTTTGACTTTTGTGACTTCCACCTCCTCTCGTCCGCCCAGCTCGAGCCACCACCGCTTCCAGAGTTACCTCCTCGCTGCGCCTTCGGCCAGGGCCTGTCCGATGTCAGTCGCCATCCTGATGGATCCCATCGACGACGACGACGACGACGACGACGACGACGACGACGGCGGCGGCGACGGCAGCGACGACGACCCAGACGACCACGACGATGACCACGACCACGACCACGACCTCCTCTGCGATGACGACCTTGACGACGATGATGGCGTCGACGACGACCACGACGACGACCACGACGATGACGTCGACGACAATTGCGACGACGACGATGATGGCGATGACGACGACGACGACGACGACGACCTCGACGACGACGACGACGACGACCACGATGACGATGACGACGACGATGACTACGACGACGACCACGACGACCACGACGACGACGACGACGACCACGACGGCGGCGGCGGCGGCGGCGGTGGCTGTTGCGATTAGGACCACGGCGGCGGCCACAACCACGACGACCACGACGTCGACGACGTTCGCGACGAGGACGCCGACCTCGACCTCGACGACGACGACGACGACGACGAAGTCCACTATGACAAACACGACCACGACCACAGCCACGACGACCCCGACGACGACGGTGAAGACCTCGACGACGACGACGACGACGACCTCGATGACGACGACGTCGACGACGTCCTCCCCGACGTCCTCGACGACGACGACCACGACAACCACGACCACGACCATGACGAGCTCGACGACGACGACGATGACAATGACGTGGACGACGACGACGACGACGACGACGACGACGACGACGACGACGACGACGACGACGACGGCGGCGGCGGCGGCGGCGGCGGCGGCGGCGGCGGTGGCGACCTGGCGACTGCGACCACGGCGACGGCGACGACCCCACGACGACGACCACGACTATGACCACGACGATGACCACGACGACCACGACGACCCCGACGGCCCTGACGACGACGACGACCACGATGACGTCGACGACGACGATGACGCCGACGACGGCGACGACGGCGGCGGCGACGCCGACGACGACAACGGCGGCGGCGGCGGCGACGACGGTGGCGATTGCGACCACAACCACGACCACGGCGATGACCACAAGACGACGACGACGACAACGATGACGACGACCTCGATGATGCCGACCTCGACCTCGACCTCGGCGGCGGCCACGACGACGACCACGATGACGACCACCACCACGATCACTTTCACGACCTCGACGACGACCACGACCACCACGACCTCGACGACCTCGACGACCACGACCACGACGACGACGACGACGACGACGACGACGACCTCGACGATGACCTCGGCGACGACGACGACGACGAGACAGACGACTGCCTCGACGACGACGACGACAACCTCGACGAAGACGACGACAACGACGACGACGACGACGACGACGACGACCACGACGACGACCACGACGGCGGCGGCGGCGACGGCGACGGCGACGGCGACGGCGACGGCGACCGCGACCACGACCACGACCATGACCACGTTCACGACCACGACGACCTTGACGACCACGACGACCACGACGGCGACGGCGGCGGCGCCACCGCCGACGACTCCGACGTCCTCGACGACGCCGACGTCGACGCTCTCGACGACGGCGGCGCCGAAGCCCCCGCCGTCGGACCGCGGACCCGGCAGTGCCCGCGGCCGCCCCGGGGCCGCCCCCAGCAGGTCAAGAGCCTCGAGACGGGCCTCCACATGTGCGGCCGCATCGTCTGCACAGGCGGGGGCGGCCATCGGGGCGATCGAAATGGGTACGGAAAGGATGGGTACAAAGACCGATAGGAGTTCTTGTTCCTTAATCAGTGCTTGCACTGAAGAGGTCCTAGCAGAGATTGAAGAATTTGGCGAAAGTTTCCCGTCGATTTTGGTCGCACGCTGGGTTCCCGGGTTCCCGGTTCCGGGTTCCTGGGTTCCCGGTTCCCGGGCCGATTTCGGTGGGTGGCGAGGTTCCCAGGTTCCCGGGTTTTTGGTCGATCTTCTTATCGATCGGTCTCAGCATCGATCTCATTTCCCACCTCTCTATCGATCTCACCATCGATCTCACAATCTCTCTATCGATCTCACAATCGCAAGCGATCTCATTTGAGATCGCACGAGCGATCTCGCGATCGATCTCCTTATCGATCTCATTGAATCGATTTCACTCTCGGCCTTACGATCGACTTCACAATCGTCCTCTATCGATTCCACTATCGATACCATTATCGATCTCACAATCGATCTCAAGATCCATACTACGCCGTTACAAAAGTTCGTCACGTTTCATGAGAACTTGAAGGTGGCGTGGGTTTCGTGTCTTCCTTCCGCGTGAGCAAGCGGGCAGAGGCTGACCACTGCCCTGGCCGCGCCGAGCTGGCCCCCCTTTCCCCCTTAGAATCCTAGCGGACTGAGTCAAGAGCGGTCGGATCAAAGATCCGGGATTTCTCAAAGTGGGATTTCATCCCTTACTATAATAGTATAGATTTAAAACGGGACATTTTGAAATCCCGACGTAAATTCACACGGTTCTAGAAATCCCACCGGGGCGGGATTTGTCTTTGCATATGCAAGATGATCGACTTTTATTTTATGACGAAACTTTTGTAACGCCGATGAGGGATCCACGATGGCGACGCATCATCATTCACCCCATCGATTTCATCGCACGCCGGACAAACAAAGGCTTCGCCTGCCGCGCCGGATAGGGAAGGCTACGCCTGCCGCGCCAGATTTCCATGGGATCGACGCTCGCCGCGCGGTGTCTGAAATACCGCTGAGGGATCCACGATGGCGACGCATCATCATTCACCCCATCGATTTCATCGCACGCCGGACAAACAAAGGCTTCGCCTGCCGCGCCGGATAAGGAAGGCTACGCCTGCCACGCCAGATTTCCAGGGGATCGACGCTCGCCGCGCGGTGTCTGAAATACCGCTGAGGGATCCACGATGGCGACGCATCATCATTCACCCCATCGATTTCATCGCGCGCCGGACAAACAAAGGCGTCGCCTGCCGCGCCGGATAAGGAAGGCTACGCCTGCCACGCCAGATTTCCAGGGGATCGACGCTCGCCGCGCGGTGTCTGAAATACCGCTGAGGGATCCACGATGGCGACGCATCATCATTCCCCATCGATTTCATCGCACAAACAAAGGCTTCGCCTGCCGCGCCGGATAAGGAAGGCTACGCCTGCCACGCCAGATTTCCAGGGGATCGACGCTCGCCGCGCGGTGTCTGAAATACCGCTACGCCGTTACAAAAGTTCGTCACGTTTCATGAGAACTTGAAGGTGGCGTGGGTTTCGTGTCTTCCTTCCGCGTGAGCAAGCGGGCAGAGGCTGACCACTGCCCTGGCCGCGCCGAGCTGGCCCCCCTTTCCCCCTTAGAATCCTAGCGGACTGAGTCAAGAGCGGTCGGATCAAAGATCCGGGATTTCTCAAAGTGGGATTTCATCCCTTACTATAATAGTATAGATTTAAAACGGGACATTTTGAAATCCCGACGTAAATTCACACGGTTCTAGAAATCCCACCGGGGCGGGATTTGTCTTTGCATATGCAAGATGATTGACTTTTATTTTATGACGAAACTTTTGTAACGCCGATGTATGACTAATTTTCAAATCATCCACTGATTTGGTTTTCTCGGGTGTAAGTCATTTTGAATAGGACTCGCTGCCCACGCCGCCGCGGACGCTGTCCATTTTTGAAGGTCGCCTACCCAACAACGGCCGCTGCCGATTTTGGGCAACGTTTGTTCCCAACCATCCAATGGTGTTGGGTCCTCGTTTTGACGAGACAGCGCCCCGCGTTCCTTCCTTCTCCCCATGCTTCCTCACAATCCGCATGGCGCACTCGCACCCGATTCGGCACACCCTCACACGTTTCGTGGCCCGCCCGCTGCCCCGATGGGTCGGCCCTTCGTCGATCACACGTAGGAGTGACCTGTCGCAGGGGTGACCTTTGGTGCGGGCTCATCGGGGTCCACCCGATCGTTGAGCGCGATGCAATAGCGGCTGCTTGCACGCTTGGATTTGGTCACTTTGTGCCCCCTTAGTCCGCGCACCGACGGTTCCGTAGCCGACCTAGGCAACTAATCGGCCGAGGGCTGGTGCAGAGTGCAGCTGCCTCGAGATCAGAGGTAGCCCAGCACTAGTTCGGGCCAGCAAGAAGGGGGGGGGCAGGTTCGAGATTGTGGTTCGAGAAGGTTTTTGCCAGTTTCTGTCTCTGGGGGCCGATTTCGGGCTCTGGGACCGTCAATAACGAATCCAGTATGAAAAATTGCACCAGATGGACTCCAGGAGGGGTCCTGGAACCAATTTTCAGCGTAGTTGGTTTTTGTCCTTCGCTCCTGATTTCTTTCCTCGGCCCCATGCAGTTCAGACACCCTGAGACATTGAGATCCGACATTTCAGGAACAAAAACTGCACCGTGCCGAAGAATCACGACAAGATCCCCTAGACCCCACCTTCTCTGCTGCACGTTGCGAGCTGGACCGGCCTGCGAGAGTCCTGGGTCCCGAAACCGGGCGAGAGCGCCTGGCGCGAACAAGATGACAACGCCTGGACCTCGAGGGGAAGGGAGCCTCACCCAGGAGGCCCAGACGAGCGCGAACGGGGAAAGGGCGGCGGCATCGGCGCAATATAGTGTGCACAAGGTTTGCGGCATTCGCCATTCGTCCAGGGAGCACCCCCCCATCGGGACGGTCCAGATGGGTACAGTGGAAACCCATGCCACGAAGCACGCACCTTGCCTCCAGGGTGCCCTGGGGTTCTTGGGTTTCCATGGCTCTCCTACGGAAAGCGTGACGCTCCCACACCAGAAATCAATGGACGTCTTGGGGTTCCAGGGTTGGGTTCCTTGTGGAAAGTTTCTTGTGGTCGAGCTCCCACTGTACGGAAAGGATGGGTACAAATACCGACAGGAATTCTTGCTCAATTTGAAAATCTCTCGTTGTCCGCGCCGCCGCGGACGCTGTCCATTTGAGACAGAAGGTCGCCTGCCCAACAGCGGCCGCTGTCGGTTTTGGGCAACGTTTGTTCCCAACCATCTAATGGTGTTGGGTCCTCGTTTTGACGAGACAGCGCCCCGCGTTCCTTCCTTCCTTCTCCCCATCCTTCCTCACAATCCGCATGGCGCACCCGCACCCGATTCGGCACACCCTTCACACGTTTCGTGGCCCCATGGGGAGCTCCACCGAAGGCCCCAGCCACACAGTCCGCATGGCGTACCCGCACCCGATCCGGCACGCCACTCACACTCTGTGGCCCCAATATTAGGTATTAGGGAGCTCCGCCGAAGGCCCCAGTGGCACAGTCCGCATGGCGCACCCTCACCCGCTTCGGCACACCCCTCGCACGTTTCGTGGCCCCGTAGGGAGCTCCACCGAAGGCCCCAGTGGCACAGTCCGTATGGCGCACCTGCACCCACTTCGGCACACCTCTCACACGTTCAGTGGCCCCGTAGGGAGCTCCACCGAAGGCCCCAGCGGCACAGTCCGCATGGCGCACCCTCACCCGCATACGCCTCACACGTTTCGCGGTCCCCTGAGGAGCGCCGACGAAGGACCCACTGGCACAGTCCGCCACACCCCTCGCACGTTTCGTGGACCTGTTGGAAGCTCAACCGAGCGCCCCAGCGGCACAGTCCACATGGCGTACCCGCACCCGATTCGGCACACCCCCAACACGCTTCATGGCCCCATGGGGAGCTCTACCGAAGGCCCCAGCCACACGGTCCGCATGGCGTACCCGCACCCGCTTCGGCATACCCTTCACACGTGTCGTGGCAGCATAATTCGGGAGCTCCACCGAAAGACCCAGTGGCACAGTCCGCATAGCGTACCCGCACCCGATCCGGCACGCCCCTGACACGTTTCGTAGCCCAGCAGAAAGTTCAACTGAAGGCCCCATCGGCACAGTCCGCATGGCGCACCCGCACCAGATTCGGCACACCTCTCACGCGACTCGTAGTCCCGCAGGGAGCTCCTCCGAACGCCCCAGCGGCACAGTCCGCATGGCGTACGCGCGCCCGATTTGGCACACCCTTCACACGCTTCGTGGCCCCCATAGGAACCTCCACCGAAGGCCCCAGCGGCAGCGTCCGCATGGCGTTCCCGCACCCGCTTCGGCACACCTCTCGCACGTTTCGTGGACCTGTTGGAAGCTCAACCGAGCGCCCCAGCGGCACAGTCCACATGGCGTACCCGCACCCGCTTCGGCACACCTCTCGCACGCTTCGTGGCCCCCTTGGGAGCTCCACTGAGAAGCCCCCAGCGGCAGCGTCCGAATAGGCGCACCCGAAAGTTCTCGGCACACCTTGTGATGTCCCAGCCTACTTTAGGTTTGATCACCAGACTCGTCCCGTCGTCATTCGCCTTAAGACGCGAGGGGTTCGGGGCTCAGATGTCGAAAATTCCCCTTGGTTTTATGATGTTCCAACCACCTTTAGCCTTGATCACCTGAAAGAATTTCGAACACCAGACAAGTACCGAAACTTGAAGGTTTTCACGCGTCGGGCCCTGGGAAACGATACTCGCTCGACACTGATTCGATGCTTTTCTGGGTGCTCGAAATTCCTCCTGGGATTGTGTCCGTAAGTACGATGGGAGCAAAACCTGGCACACTTTTCATACGTGCCGTGGCTCCTTCGAGAACGCCATCGAAGGGCCCCACCGGCAGCGTCCGCATGGCGCACCCGCACCCAATTCGGCACACCCTTCACACACTTCGCGGCCCGATAGGGAGCTCCACCGAGGCCCCAGAGGCCGACGGTCCCCACCTGCACGCCAGACTCGCAGCTGTAAATGATTGGGTTTTTCACCAGAATAATCCGTGGAAATCTTGAATATCTGTTCCGTACCCATTTCGGGCGTCCAGACCCCAGGGTCACGCTTCCTGAGCCCGCCGCCGTCACTCGGGTGTTGCGCAGAGGTGGCCGTCGTGGCAGCGAAAAACAAAACAAAGAGCAAGAGAATAGCATGCCCTCAGAAAATTCGTCCTGAGGATTGTCGCCGTTTTGGGCTTCCCAGGCCCTCCAAGGGCCCCAGGATTGGTAGAAAGCGATTCGGGATGAAAAGTTGGTGTTGGGGGGAGGCCGCCGGGTCCAGGACCCGCTGCCCTCAGGGCCAGCTTGCTCCGTGGCGAGATCCTTCTTACAGAGGCCTATCGGCCAGATCCGCCGACCTTGGAGAGAGATTCGCAAGAAGGAATTAGGAAGGTCGCACGCCAGCGTATCGCCAGGACAGCGCATGGCGTGGAAGGCTGGGCATATGTGTCCTGGAAGTCCAACTGATCAATTGACAGTCAGAACCGCAGATGTCCAAGACGGGCGCTGGAACGCGCGACTTACCCGCCAAAGACGGCGGTGCTCAGTCCCCATTCATCAGAGCCGCTGTCCCGTCCTGTCCACCAGAAAGGTCGCGGGAGCCAAAGACTTTAGCTCCCGCGACCTTTCTGTTTGACAGAACGGGGGGCCTCTGGAGGTAGCAGTCGGCCCCCAGGGAACCTGAGGAGCAGCAACAACAACTTCACGAGCCTCGAAAAAAACATGTTTGCCGTGTGGGGCCCCTGGAGATAGCAGTCGGCCCCCAGAGGCCTGGTGAGCAGCAACAACAACTTTGTGAGCCTTGGGACATGAATTTTCGCCGTCTGGTGCCTCTTCCTCCTCCTCGGGTCCTTCTTTTTCTCCTCCTCATCATCAGCATCCTCCTCCTCCTCCTCCATGAGCGGTTTTGCTATCAAGAGCTCATTGCCGAGGTATCGGTGATGCGTCCGTCGCCAATCCCAGGAGATTGCCCTGTCCCCTTTGCCCGCTCTTTCTTCTCGTCGCCCTTCAACGATGCGGCGGCGCGTTTTCACCGAGGTGTGCAAGGCCTACAGCTTCTGGGCAAGGCCCCTGGCTTCTGGGCAAGGCCCCTGGCTTCTGGGCAAGGCCCCTCTTCTGGCGAGGCCCGCAACTTCTGGGCAAGGCCTACAAATTCTGGGCAAGGCCCCTGGCTTCTGGGCCAGGCCCGAATCTTCCTCAAGTCTGGGCCCGCAAAGTCCGTGCGAGGCCCGCAGCCAAGCGCATGCCCATTCTGCTCCTGGGCAAGGCCCGTTGTTTTTGGCGAGATCCTCGCCCGCGGTATCCGGGCCAGACCCGAATCGTACGCGAAGGGGGTCGACGCAGGGCCATTTGGGACATTGGAAGTTGGCTTTCGTGAGGCGTTCTCGTCACCGCGGCTGGACGCTGCCCGAAACACTGACTGATGCGTTTCGAGCCCTGGAAGCTCCCAGCGGATTCCCAGGGGGCAAGTAAACACGCGCCACGAGAAGATAATGCCAACAGAAGCATGAATTACGCTACCGAGGAACCCCACATACTTAATTTAGATATTTTGTGTTTGCTTATGTATAATATCTATATATGCACAATCCTGCGTTCTGGGCCCTCGTCGCGAATGTTCCCTGCTAGGCTTTGCGCCAGTGTCGTGGATAGCGGCCGAGCTGAGAGACCACCCCCTGCGCACCCCCTGTGGTGTCGAGAAGGTGCCACGCCTGCTAGCTTGTCCGCCAGTGTCGTGGATAGCGGCCGAGCTGAGAGACCACCCCCTGCGCACCCCCTGTGGTGTCGAGAAAGTGCCACGCCTGCTAGCCTTTGCGCCAGTGTCGTGGATAGCGGCCGAGCTGAGAGACCACCCCCTGCGCACCCCCTGTGGTGTCGAGAAAGTGCCACGCCTGCTAGGCTTTGCGCCAGTGTCGTGGATAGCGGCCGAGCTGAGAGACCACCCCCTGCCCACCCCCTGTGGTGTCGAGAAAGTGCCACGCCTGCTAGGCTTTGCGCCAGTGTCGTGGATAGCGGCCGAGCTGAGAGACCACCCCCTGCGCACCCCCTGTGGTGTCGAGAAAGTGCCACGCCTACCAGGCTTTGCGACAGTGTCGTGGATAGCTGCCGAGCTGAGAGACCACCCCCTGCGCACCCCCTGTGGTGTCGAGAAAGTGCCACGCCTGCTAGGCTTTGCGCCAGTGTCGTGGATAGCGGCCGAGCTGAGAGACCACCCCCTGCGCACCCCCTGTGGTGTCGAGAAAGTGCCACGCCTGCTAGGCTTTGCGCCAGTGTCGTGGATAGCGGCCGAGCTGAGAGACCACCCCTTGCGCACCCCCTGTGGTGCCGAGAAGTGCCACGCCTGCTAGGCTTTGCGCCAGTGTCGTGGATAGCGGCCGCGGGAGAGACCACCCCCTGCGCACCCCCGTGGTGTCGAGAAGGGACCACGCCCTGCTAGTCTATTTTCCGCCAGTGTCGTGAGAGCGCCGAGCGAGAGACCACGCCCCCCCCTGCGCACCAACCCCCCCCTGTGGTCGAGAAAGTGCCACGCCTGCTACGGCTTTGCCAAAGTGTCGTGGATAGCGGCCGAGCTGAGAGACTACCCTCCTGCGCTCCCCCTGGTGTCGAGATAAGTGCCAACGGTTGCAAAGCTTTGGCCAGAGTGTCAGTGGATGAGCGGGACCGAGCTGAGAACCACACCCCCTGCCCACCCCCCTTTGGTGCCGAGAAAGTGCCACGCCTGCTAAGCTTTGCGCCAGTGTCGTGGATGGCGGCCGAGCTGAGGGACCAACCCCCTGCGCACCCCCTGTGGTGTCGAGAAAGTGCTACGCCTACCAGGCTTTGCGACAGTGTCGTGGATAGCTGCCGAACTGAGAGACCACCCCCTGCGCACCCCCTGTGGTGTCGAGAAAGTGCCACGCCTGCTAGGTTTTGCGCCAGTGTCGTGGATAGCGGCCGAGCTGAGAGACCACCCCCTGCGCACCTCGTGTGGTGTCGAGAAAGTGCCACGCCTGCTGGGCGTTGCGCCAGTGTCGTGGATAGCGGCCGAGCTCAGAGACCACCCCCTGCGCACCTCGTGTGGTGTCGAGAAAGTGCCACGCTTGCTAGGCTTTGCGCCAGTGTCGTGGATAGCGACCGAGCTGAGAGACCACCCCCTGCGCACCCCCTGTGGTGTCGAGAAGGTGCCACGCCTGCTAGGCTGTTGCGCCAGTGTCGTGGATAGCGGCCGAGCTGAGAGACCACCCCCTGCGCACCCCCCTTGGTTGCCGAGAAAGTGCCACGCCTGCTAGGCTTTGCGCCAGTGTCGTGGACAGCGGCCGAGCTGGGAGACGACCCCCGGCCCACCCCCTTTGGTGTCGAGAAAGTGCCACGCCTGCTAGGGCTTTGCGCCAGTGTCGTGGATAGCGGCCGAACTGAGAGACCCCCCCCCTGCGCATCCCCTGTGTGGTGTCGAGAAAGCGCCACGCCTGCTAGGCTTTGCGCCAGTGTCGTGGTATAGCTGACAGCCGCACCCCCTGTGGTGTCTGCCACGAGACCACCCCCTGCCGAGCACCCCCTGTGGTGTCGAGAAAGTGCCACGCCTACGAGGCTTTGCGACAGTGTCGTGGATGGCGACCGAGCTGAGAGACCACCACCCCCTGCGCACTCCCTGTGGTGTCGAGAAAGTGCCACGCCTGCTAGGCTTTGCGCCAGTGTCGTGGATAGCGGCCGAGCTGAGAGACCACCCCCTGCGCACCCCCTGTGGTGTCGAGAAAGTGCCACGCCTGCTAGGCTTTGCGCCAGTGTCGTGGATAGCGGCCGAGCTGAGAGACCACCCCCTGCCCACCCCCTGTGGTGTCGAGAAAGTGCCACGCATGCTAGGCTTTGCGCCAGTGTCGTGGATAGCTGAGAGACCCCTGCGCACCCCCTGTGGTGCCAGACGACCGTGGATAGCGGCCGCCCTGACCACCCCGCGCACCCCTGTGGTGCCCGCCACGCCTGCTGTCTGAGAGATAGCTGACCACCCCTGCGCACCCCCTTGTGGTGTCGAGAAAGTGCCACGCTTGCTAGGTTTGCGCCAGTGTCGTGGATAGCGGCCGAGCTGAGAGACCACCCCCTGCGCACCCCCTGTGGTGTCCGAGAAAGTGCCACGCCTGCTAGCGCCAGTTCGTGGATAGCGCAGGCGGCCGAGCTGAGAGACCACCCCCCCCTGCGCAGCCCCCGTGTGGTAGTGCGAGAAAGTGCCACGCCTGCCCGGTTTGCACCAGTTGTCGTGGATTAGCGCGGCCGGCTGAGAGAACCACCCGCCCCTGCCACCCCCTGTGGTGTCGAGAAAGTGCCACGCCTGCTAGCCTTTTTGCGCCAGTGTCGTGGATAGCGGCCGAGCTGAGAGACCACCCCCTGCGCACCCCATGTGGTGCCGAGAAAGTGCCACGCCTGCTAGGTTTGCGCCAGTGTCGTGGATAGCGGCCGAGTTGAGAGACAACCCCCTGCGCACCCCCTCTGGTGCCGAGAAAGTGCCACGCTTGCTAGGCTTTGCGCCAGTGTCGTGGATAGGGACCGCGGTGAGAGACCACCCCCTGCGCACCCCCTTTGGTGTCGAGAGAGTGCCACGCCTGCTAGGCTTTGCGCCAGTGTCGTGGATAGCGGCCGAGCTGAGAGAGGAACCCTTGCGCACCCCCTGTGGTGCCGAGAAGGTGCCACGAGCTGTGCTGTGCTGTGCTGAGCCGTGCTGGGCTGTGCTGAGCTGTGCTGAGTTGTGCTGTGTGCTGAGCTGAGCTGAGCTGCGTGTTGAGCTGTGATGTGCTGTGCTGAGCTGTGCTGAGCTGTGCTGTACGAAGAGTGAGGTGTGTGTGTCGCGGGTGCGGCGCGGCAGGGAAAAAAACCAGAACCCCAAGAAGCATGTGGGGAACAATCGGAGGTCCGCGGATGTCCTGATTCGGCGCCAAGCCTTTCGCTGCCGTGCGGCCCTGGCGGCTTTCGAGGCAAAGGGAGGGGGGGGCGGGAAGGGCTTGGTGCGGAGCCAGGATATCCATTCGGACTTCAGACGCACCTGATAGTAATGATGATGTTGTGATCCTTACCTGTGCTTCGTCCAGAAGCAATGCTGGCTTCGACGAGGCAGCGATGCCTGTTTCAAGGCGGCCGTGCTCCGCGCTGCGTATCAATTTCTTTTCCCGCAGGCATAACAATGCCGACGCATATGGTCATGCAGAGGCCTCGTTGCAGCGTGTGCTTCTGCTTCGACATTATGGTACTAGGAGAGGCGCAGCACACATATAATGATCCTCTTACTGCTCCTGCTGCCGCTGCTCCTCCCATGTTCGCCCTCCTCCCCCTCCCCCTTTTGTTCCTCATCCTCCTCTCTTCTCCTTTCTCGTTATCAGTATCCCCCTGCTCCAGTTGTCTTCCTCCCCCTCCTCCTCCCCCTCCCCTCCCTCTCCCACCTTTCTCTGCCTCATCCTCATCCTCCTCTTCCTGTCCTCGTCCTTCTTCCCCTTTTCCTCCCTCCTCCATTTTCATCCTCCTTCCTTCTTCGCATCACAGTTAAACGTCATCCCAGCGCTTGGCAGAATTGTGGCATAGCGCCCGGCAGCGTCATGCCCGTTCCTCGCGCATTTCCCGCGCTCTTGGCACGTGATGATCTGTATTTCTGGCCGCAGGGAAGCTTTCGAGGAACCGTTGCTGAGGAATTCGCCGCGACGGTTCTCTGCATCCGCAGCTTTACTCACTTGGCGCGGAGGCACGCGCCTGCAACCTTGACGCTTGAAAAGTGGAAACCTCAACTGTTTCGTGATATTCCGTTGTTGATTCGTTGCTTGTTTTTGTCATTGTATTGGAGCAGCTTAGACTCAGGTGAGGATGGAGGAGGAGAAGAAAGGAGGGGGCCTCGGTAGGAGAAGAAGAAGGAGGAGGAGGAAGAGAGTAAGAGGAGGAGGGGGAGCTGGAAGAGGAGGAGGATGAGAAGGGGGAGGGGGCAGGAAAGGAAGAGGAGGGAAGAGGATGAATTACGCTACCGAGGAACCCCACATACTGATTGTATGTCTTGTGTGAACCGCGCTACCACTACCACCGCCGTCATGCTCTCAGGTGCCCCCTGTGGTCGTTGAAAGGAGGGGGAGGACGTGTGGGGGGAGAGGAGGGGTTGAGGAGTCATCTGTGACGGTCATATCCTGCGTCGCCTGGCACTTGGATACGAGAGGTAA